TTATGGGTATAGTAGATAGCTGATATACCAGAGATGCGAGGAAGAAGAAGTGACATCATTTCACTATTCCTAGGAGAATGTAAAGCAATATCTTTGGAACTGAAACGCTTCAGAGAGAAGAGGTGGAGTCTCTGGAGTGGGTGGACACCCTAGCTTTTACCAGAAGGTCTAGAAGGTTCGCCGAAGTAGCCGAGTAACGGAGGTAAGGTGCAGGTTGCCGGGGTCGGCAGAAAGAGCCCAAGAGGGCCTACTTGCCTGGCTTGAGTCTCCCCACCGTAACTACCACTACTACTACTCATAATGATGTGATTCATAATAGCTATGTCATCCAAAATATAAGTAGACAAACAAATGCGCATATGCAAAAGATAATCCACATGTACGAGCTCTTTTCCCAATGGCCATATCAAAAGCTTTTGGTGAATTTGTTCCAACCTTCACGTGCTCACTGTAATAAGTGACGTGTTTTGCCAAATTTTCATACCAGTTGAAGAAATATTGAGTGCTGCTCAACATTGTCACCCAGAATACTGAACATCTCCAAACTTCAACAGATAAATTTGTAAGAGTACCTTGGTTTGTCTATACAGTCGTTCATTATATTGATGATAGCCGATTTTGCTTCTGTGGCCTGCTGGATTGCTTCCATAACAATTTTCAAAGGCAATCCTGGAATCTTTATGTCTGCTTGTAGTGCCGTTATACCTTTTTTCGTACCGGAAATTTTGAAATCCATATCGCCCATATAATCTTCTATGCCCTGAAAAGTTCAAGTTCAATTTTGCAAATTATATTGTCAAAATTTTATTGCAGATATTCTGCACTACATGAATTGAGCCATCCATATACAAATGCAATTAAACATACAGGGTGGTCCAAGGGAAACTTTACACCCCGATTTTAGGGCTTTACAACGAAATTCCGAAAAAATGCTCGGACATGTCAATTTCTGATTCGGGAAGGGGGAACAACTTGTCTGCTCTATAAATGTTCGACGTGGCAAATAGCCAGGAAAGTAGTTGTTTTCTGTTGAATAAACCAAGAAAGAATTGATATTTTCATCACATAGAGAATGCAAATTCTCAATGTATTTCTTCATGTTCATAATTATATCTGAGAATATTCCTTTTCAATACTTTCACCCAATCAAAGGGTTCAAACTTGAACGATGGAAACTTGTTATTTTTATAGACCTAAATCGCAGATTCGTGATTAGGTTTTCTCAATTCATAATTTCTTTCCACGTCCTGTATGATGAATATCAATTTATCATACATCCAAGAACTATCTACAGCAACTACTGCACACTATTGAGAAAACAGGTTTTGGACGGAAAATTATAGTGGATCAGTAAGGTACTCACCAATAAATCGGTCAACAAACAGTAGTCCTCGATTTCCTTATTGGCCGCATCATATCGAGTGACCAATCCCATGGCGACCCCAGCAGCGGGGGAGATAATCGGCACCCCGGCGTCCATCAAAGCCAAACTACCCCCACATACGCTAGCCATGGAACTAGAACCTGCAGGGTGATTCATATTATTAGGTACTAGCTATTCCCTGCGCGCGTTGCTAAGCTACTTACTAAAATAAATTTGAAGGAAAGACTGTACAGGGAAAGTTCTATTCCCGTACAAGATAAAAAAAAACTGATGTCGGTGCCTGTTGATCAATTCATGGTGAAAACCGCATATTGATATCTATCTTTATTTCAGAGTTACAAGGTGTTTTTCGAAAATGTGGATTTTTGAATAGAGGCTAAGTCTTTTTTTTGCAAAAATTCTCCGTTTTCATGAAAACATTTCTAAAGCATAGTGTTTGTCATGAAAATTAATCCTCAGCCACTGAAATCAGTCACCATATACCTAGTTGAAAAATAAAACTTTTCCTTTGAGAAGAACAAGTTATATTCTTGAACTAGATATGGAAAGGCCGAATTTTAGTGCCTTGAGAACAATTTTCATCACAAACTCAATGCTCTGATGGGAACAGAGAATTGTTGCTAAAAAGAATTATCTGTAGCCACTTTTCAAAAATGACCATTTTCGAAAAACACCTTGTAACTCCGAAACGTAGACAGATATGGATATGCGGTTTCCACCATAGAGTTTTTCATGAGAATCGACCCTCAGGATCCGACATCAGTTTTCTTCCATTTGGTTCGAGAATAGGGCTTTCCCTTCAAAAGTGTCCAATTTGGCCCACCCTGTACGCGAATATTGAATTAATATCGAGTAATTTTATTGATTATAGCTGACCTGGCAAATGTTGTTTTGCTATGTACATTACTTCTAGAAAATATTTTCTCAGTTCCATATTCAACAACACACTCCTTATTATTTTATTTCCAACTACTGTATGGTTTGACTAACCACTGAAGCGTATTTTCTTAGTTGTTCAAACTAATATTTATTTTCTACTTATTCCTTGCATTTCGGTAATCTATCTCTTTAGTTTTCTGAACTACTATTTATTTTCTACTTCTTTTTAGTTTTGCTATCTATAAAAGCGTGTTCCATTAGTTTTTCAAAACACAAAGCTCTTTCGACATATTGAATCCGCCATCTTGAATGTACTACTTATGACGGAGGGATCATAATTTCCGACCCCGAAAACCCACCCGATACAAATTTTGAATAGAATCGATCCATATACAAGGTGATTCTAAAATAGGTGGTCAAACTTTGGGAGCATATAGAGTGGGTGAAATAGTTACGAAAACCTCTGTAAAATTTTTTTCTGAAGTGACCCCCAAGAAAGATACAGCCCCTCAAAGGGGGGCCTCGGAGAATGATTTTGTATTATTATCTCCAACACCTTGTATAATGAAAATCTGAAATTTTGTCCATCCACTTACTATTCAGTGCCGGTTCGAATGGAGTTGAAATCACCTCAAAATAAAATACAGGGGTGTGTCAAAATAGGGAGGTAGGGGGTAAAAATAACCCCAACTTTTTTGTTCATCGCAATTTCAGTTTTTTGACATGAAATTATGAAATCTCAGGGCTATTTACATAGAAAAGGTGCTCTTGTTGCATCTCGATAAAATGAACTATTAGCGAATAAAATTTAAAAAAAAGCTTGTTTTTAACAATATTTCTTATTTTAGTATTTTCAATAGGATCAGACCATAATCACGAAACTCGTCGTCTATTTTTAATTCATGAATTCCGACAACGAATTCAAAATTTCCAACCCCAAAAACACTTACAAACCAATTTGAATCGAATCGAACCATAATCACAAATCTGGTCAGCCACATTGGAGCCGCCATATTTTTTTCTATCAAAAAATCCATAACGCGTTGTCAACTGTCATCTGCCAGATTCCAAGTTGATCAGACGATTAGAAGTAGGTAAAAATTCAGTTGCAAGATTTGAACTAGATAATTAAACTTAAGTGCATACCAAAATTGCAATTTAAATGAAATCTTGGAAAAATAAATTTTATTCGCTAATGGTTCAGTTTATCGAGATTCAACAAGAGCTCCTTTTCTATGTTAATAGCCCTGAGATTTCATAATTTCATGTAAAAAAACTGAAAATGCGATGAACAAAGAAGTTGGGGTTATTTTTACCCCCTACCTCCCTGTTTTGACACACCCCTGTATTTAATTTTGAGAGATTTCATAATTTCATGTAAAAAAACTGAAATTGCGATGAACAAAAAAGTTGGGGTTATTTTTACCCCCTACTTCCCTGTTTTGACACACCCCTGTATTTAATTTTGACGTGATTTTTACTCCATTCGAACCGGCACTGAATAGTTAGTGGATAAACAAAATTTTAGATTTTCATCATACAAGGTGTTGGAGATAATAGTACAAAATCATTCTCCGAGGCCCCCCTTTGAGGGGCTGTATCTTTCTTGGGGGGAACTTCAGTAGAAAATGTTACCGAGGTTTTCGTAATTATTTCACTCACTCTATATACTCCCAATGTTTGGCCACCTATTTTACAATCACCTTGTATAATTAATGAACTCGTTCGCCATATTCGATCTGCCATCTTGAATTTCCAGAATTTGTCAAAAATAATCATAATCCTTTGACCCTAGCTCCAACTATTCATTTTGAAGCCATTTTCGTTGGCAATTCTCTAGTGCATCGTTTTTGAAAATCGGTTGAATTAGAGTTATTGAATTTAGTCAATACTTGACAATTTTGGAATAATTTATACCCAAAATTGCTCATCAACTGAAAGCTTCTCATCTACTACATATCGACACATCTCGTTTTTTTTTGGTGTGCCAATCAATTCACAAAAGACAATCATAACTCAATATTTTAGTGTTTTCTCAGCATTTCTGGACTTTCTATGTATAAAGAATTATACATTAATTAAAGACAACAAAATTATGAATTCAACGAAATGTTCATTATTTAAAGAATGTGTAAGTTTGTGTCATATCTCCAAAACCATACCCCGAAAATAAAAATGATTGCGCCACTGTATTTTTCGCGAACTATTCTTCGCAAAATCATCTTAGACGTAGTTATTGGAGCAACATTATTTCTAATAACTTCGAAGGTATAAGGTATAGAAGGGGACCAAAAAATGTGGATTTCCTAAATCGCCCTCTATAACCTATAAACGGAAACGCTCAAGGAAAATCTGATTAGGCCATCAAAGTTCCAAAAAAAAGTAGGACAGGTTATGTTGAATTGGACAATTTTGGTTAGAAATTTCAACAGGAATTTTTGTTTTTCTATTATACCTAGTCAACTAGGTATAGACTTTAGTCAATAACTGACAAATTTTGACGGATTTCCAAAAATGATGCACCGGAGTATCAATGATGGAAGGGAATTCAAAATGATGTGTTGGGAGTAGAGTAGTTCCATTTGAAATTCCGAAGTTGAAGTTGCTTATTGGTTAGAGGGATAAACATATCAAGTTGATTCTACTGTCATGAATGCTCCCCTCAAGTATTAAAATTGATGGGTTCGGGGTCAAGTTTTGGTATTATGTATACCGGGTGACCGAGGGGAATTTCAAGAATGTATTTGTTGAAACAAGAAAATCAGAGGCTGCTACATGTGTACCTTGGTCCCTGGGTTACCCGGTATATAATATTCTTATTGTTTTTACCGTTAGATTCCAACACTTCGGACGTCAGTCTTATGGTGAAGGGAAAATTATTTGGAATCGTTGGAGTCAATCCTTTTTCCGCCAAAGCTCCATGGCCCATTTCCCGTCTGCCGATAGGTCCCATCCTGCCGGTTTCTTTGGTTGCAAAAGGAGGAAATTCGTAGTGCAGGAAGAAGTTTTTTTCCTTAATACCACTGGGAAATTGTACAAAATAAGTTCATCTTTTTATTTATGTGACAATACTTACTAAACTAGCTGAAATATCTATATGGAATTTGCAAACAAGATCCGAAGTTTCCGGTTTCAATAGAAATGACCAAAATGGGATAATAAAGAAAGTTTGTATGGATAATATGAGGAAAACTATATGTTGAAATGAGTTTTCTCATACACAATCAAAAGGCAGTGAGATTGGCAGATTTAAAACAAGTTTTATAAACATGCAACTCAAGTTCCAGTATAGTAAAATTTGAACATGATTTCATAAGATCTCCAACAAATATTGCAGTTTCAACAGTTTTCATAATTATTTTTGCATTGGTAGGAAGTGCAAGTGTTTTCATCAGTATGTTTCATTTGAGATCTTGAAAATAGTTCATTATATAGGTGTTTTTGTAGTTGAATCTGCATCTCCCTGTATAATTTCCGAGGGGTAAACAGAGGTGGAATTCTGGTGTACAAACAACTGAAATTTCTTGGAATTCCCTAGATTTTCGTGGATATCCTTGGATTTCCTTGGAATCCCTTGGATTTCCTTGGAATTCCTTGGATTTCCTTGAAATTCCTTGAGATTCTCTGGAATTCCTTGGGTGAAATGCGGTATTTTCCTGGGCTACAAACAACTGGAAGTCCTTGGACTTCCTTAGAATTCTTTGGAATTCCTTGGATTCTCTTGGATTTCCTTGGAATTCTTGGGATTCCCTTGGAATTCTTTGAGTGAAGTGTGGTATAATTCTGGTGTACAAACAACTGGAATTCTTTGGAATTCCTTGGATTTTCTTGGAATACCTTTGATTATCTTGGAATTCCTTGGATTTCCTTGGAATTCCCTGGAATTCCTTGAAGTTTATTGGAATTCCTTGTATGAAGTGCGGTATAATTCTGGTGTACAAACTGGAATTTCTTGAAATTCCTTGAAATTCCTTGTGAAATTTGAGTTTGGTGTAAACAATTTTGACCATGGTTTACCCCTCGATAATCTCTATATATCCAGAGACTGTAATATGGATAACAACATAACAAACATAACTTCACAAAGTTATTGTAACCGACTTTTCATTATAGTTTGGAAGTCAGTTCAGAAAATGGAAGTTACCTCTATGTACCTACTTATATCATCACACATTCAATGAAATGTATGTGAAATATCATGAAACATTTTTTGTTTACCATCTTTCAAATAATTTTTGTATTATTGTAATAGGAACAGGGCCTTCATGTATATTGTGCACCCCCCTTAACTTTTTCATTTATTGTTAAATTAAAAAAAAAACAGTCCATAATTTTCCCTGTAGATTTTAAACAGTGTGTCACATATTCCATACTCACCATTGGGATCTTGGTTGGATTAGGAAACTTTCAGCATATTCAATCTTGATTAAGAATCTGTTGAGAAGTCTAGAATAGCTCCAGTCATTTTTGAGTTACTTATTCAGGAAAAACAAAATGTTTCCTTCTTGAATAGGTATCTGGAAAATTATTGATTGTGTGATAAAACAACTTCAATATTCTAATAGTAATTTTGAGTGATCTTTCAAATGGTTTCCTCAGTTTTTGTTAAAAATTTCTAATTTTTGAGATATTACTTTCAACTTATTTTATTATTTTCTGTTCTTTTTTTTAATCGAGGAAGCTATTCAAAAGATCACTGAAAAGTACCATTATAATGTTGAAGTCATCTTTTCATACAATTAATAGTTTCCAGAAATTCCAGAAAAACAAAAATCAAAATTTCAGTTTTTCTTGAATAACTCAGAATTGACTGAAGCTAGTCAAGATTTCTCAATGGATTTGGGAATTTAACTGACTATATCTCTCACTAATATGGATATCCCAATGGTGAGGGATCAAATTTGGGACACAAAATATAATATGTTAAGAGAATATAAGTTGAACATGGCAAAAAAAGTTATTGGCAACTTATATGAATTCTTAAATGGAACACTATATACAGTGTGACCCACTTAAGACCGGAGCACCCTCATAAAATCTATAGTTTTTGACCAATTTCTTTTTTTTTTTTTGTTTCAGCAGAAGGACTATCCTGAGATCTTCGATTACACAAATTTGCAAAATAAAATTTCAATCTACAGGGCATACTATGTTATTTTTTTCATGTTAAAAATTGCGAAATATCATTAGCGATTTTTTTCAAGAAAAATCAACCCCACCACTGAATTCAGCATCCTTCAATTAGGTTGAGCGCAAAATTTCATTGACAAATATCAATTGGCAACAAAGTTATAACAACATTAATTTTGATTGCTCACCATTTTTTATGAATATTTCAGACAAATTCTGAGAAGCGGCAACATTGTCAACACAAATGTTGGAAATCATTGAGGTTTCTGGTGTACATTTGAATTGATAACACAAATTATTATCCAGTCATAATCTCTAGAATGGTACCTTTTTGGAATGAAATAATGAAGTCGGAAAAACAGCTTTTCATAATAAGTTAATTATCAATGTAAACCAACAATTTCTGAAAGCTCTTGAGGTTTTTGGCATCTGATATTATCTCACTATACAGACTATCCGATTTTCTAACTATAATTACTTGGATGAACAAGGCCGATTTTTCTACATTAAATTTTCATTTTATGAAACTTTCCATGAATACCAAGATAAATTCCATTTCAGATGTTATAACTGGATAATAATTTGTGTTATCAATTCAAATGTTCACCAGAAACCTTGATGATTTCCATAATTTGTGTTGACAATGTTGCCGCTTCTCAGAATATGTCTGAAATATTCATAAAAAATGGTGAGCAATCAAAATTAATGTTGTTATAACTTTGTTGCCAATTGATATTTTTCAATGAAATTTTGCGCTCAACCTAATCGAAGGATGCTGAATTCAGTGGTGGGGTCGATTTTTTTTTTTAAAATCGCTAATGATATTTCGCAATTTTTAACATGAAAAAAATAACATAGTATGCCCTGTAGATTGAAATTTTATTTTGCAAATTTGTGTAATCGAAGATCTCAGGATAGTCCTTCTGCTGAAACAAAAAAAAAAGAAATTGGTCAAACACCATAGATTTTATAAGGGTGCTCTGGTCTTAAGTGGGTCACACTACTATTAGATTGAGTTCATTTTTGTGATCCCAAAAAGTTAGGGGGGGTTCAAAATATACATGAAGACCCTGTACCTTGTCAGCACACTCAATGGATCCAATTTCAGAGCACTGTCATGAGAGTCTAATGTAACTGTACAGAACACTTGTGTCTGTCCCCTTTGGAATAGTGCTGAACCATGTAATGGCTTATATAAATCCACTTTACAAGAAATATCCCTCAGTTGGTTGAATTCACGTCCATCACATCTATGCTGTTCTTCAAATATGAGATCACGAAAAATCTCTTTAACAATTTTATTATAACAATCTGTGAGTAAATTGAAGTCTGCATCAGGAAAACTTGCTTTGATTTTTTCTAGAACATCAATTCTAACCTCCAAAAGAGCATTGTCCCTACTCAACTTGTCATATGTATAGTTTTTGAAAATTTCTCTTACACGCATATCAGATAGGGACCTCAATGCTTCTGTTACCTCTTCTGATAACACTTGAGGTATATCAATTTCTCTTTTCACTTTGCCATATGTTTTTTGAAGCCTATCAATCTCAGTCACTATAGTTTGTACCTCTTTTGTAGCAAGTTTAACAGCTTTTTGCAAATCCTGCAATAAAATAACATCTGCATTACCTTCCAACATAACCACTAAGTTTCTCTTGGTTGCAGACACAATCAAATTCAAAGCAGACTCTTGCATTTCCTTGCGTGTAGGATTAATTAGGAATTCTTTATCAATTAGTCCTATTCTCACTGCTCCAATAGGTCCATTCCATGGAATGTCACTTAGAGATAAGGCAGCAGAAGCTGCATTTATTGATATGACATCTGGATTGTTCACTCCATCCACGGCCAACATATTACAAATAACCTGTGTTTCATTGTTGAAGCCTTCTGGGAACAAAGGCCTCAAACTCCTGTCTATAAGACGAGATGTCAATATTTCTCGTTCAGATGGCCCCAGTTCTCTGCGAAAAAAGTTGGTCGGTATTCTTCCGGCTGCTGCTGATTTTTGTCGATAATCTACTGTCAAGGGTAGGAAGCCGCTGGTGCCCTGTTTTGCTTTGGATACTACAGTCACCATCACTGAAGTGTCTCCCAGGTTTGCTACCGCACAACCGTCTGCTAATCGAGCATACTGGCCGGTGGATATATTCAAATTACGTCTGAAATCCATAATAATAGAATGTTTGGTCGATTATTATTGATACACTTTTACCCATTTGAAAATGGTATGGTGACATCTGGGCTAGTTAATTTATCTACGTAACATCGACGGGTCTCTTTGGCACATTCATTTCGAGTTTTATTCAATTCGAAAATAGGTCGAAAAGTTTTATTGGAATACTTCAAATTATTAACAAAAAACATTTTTAACACAAACAAATAATGCTAGGTTATGATGTTAGGAATGTAGGTTAATTTCTTCTGATTTTTTCGTAATAGATTTTCTTGGAAAAAGGTAACAGATTTGTATCAAAAGGAAATAGATCCGAAAAATCTGACATTTGACGTTTTGAATGTCATTCTTGTCAACCATATCACACAAATTAGACAGTTTTGACAAGAATCAGGCAGAAGTCACACCTCAGAGTCCAGAGAACATAGACCCATAGAGCAGAACATAATTATCCGCTGAACACAGAAATAGATAATATCGTAACGAAGACGTCTTATTTCTTCTTGTGACACTTGTGACAGTTAGAGTCCCTGTATGTATAATTCCCTGTATATATTTGTCAGTTTTGTTGTAATAAAAGTACGGACACTATGACAAGCAGTGACGGAAGGCATAACCCCAAATTCTCAAAATGACTTTTGAACAAAGACATGGATATGCTTTTCCATGCCCTTCGGATCTTCTATCCTCTACTGCCGCGGTGAAGGGTACATCCATATATCTTTCTCTGTCTTTATTTTCATAAAGAAGTGGCGTCTCATCTAACTGGCGAAAAGGGGTCATAGTTTGTAAATCAATTTGTTGAAAGTATTTCTCGATATACTTAACAAAGGGTATATGTACTTGTTGGTTAGAATGAGGGAAATGGAATAAATGAAAGGACTCGCTTCCATTTTTGCAATTCTCCACTACACAATTAGACATTTTAATTTTTGAAAACCTGAATTTTCAATTAATTTAATGTCATGTACGTTCATGAACTGTCAGTGCCCGCCAAATTGTTCATGTCATTTCTTCTTCTTCTTCTTCTTTCTTTTCAATGGCCTCTGTTCTGTAAGACAATTGGCCAGCACATTCCTTTTGATTTGTTTGGGCCACCCTTAAGGTGTGTCTGAGATTAACTCATACCCTGACTGATTTGAGACTTCCTATTGGTTTTGGAAATTCACAGTTTCAAAGTCCTCTTAGCTGTAAAACTTGGTTGACAATTATTACACACACAGATATAGACTTTGTTTCTAGGTTTTGGGTGTGGGAGTTAGTAAGACAGATAGCACAACAAAGGTATAGACTCTTCTCGATCCGGGGCAACGGCGGATCTTTCACAACCAGAAATGTTGCCTCGGTTAGGTAGCACCCAGGTGTATAAAGATAGGGATTCTGGAAAGAATTTCACTTATTAGAGGTTTATTTTGTTATGGTTCAGAAATTTGATAAGGAGTAGCATTGTTTTTTGGTTCATATGATATAAAACTGTTAAAATGTTCATTGGAGTAGGTATTCCGATTCTTCTAAATTCATTGTACATGTCTATATTGGGTATCATGTTAATTGGGCATTGGAAAAATATGTGTTCTAAATCCTCAATTTGTCCACATTCACAGTATGGATTAGTCTTGATATTCATTCGATATAGATGTGTTGATGTCAAACAATGTCCTGTCCTCATTCTAATAATAGTTGTGATATGTTTTCTGTCTACAAATGGGTATTTGGAATACCAGGGCTTCATTGGGAAGTTGGTTTGAATTTTGGAATACCATCGTCCTTTGTTTATGGTAGATGCTTTCCATTCTTGTGCGAACCCGTTTTTAATTTTTCTTTTAAGTACTGGTAGGAGTTCGTTTCTATCTAGTTTAATATTTGTAGGAACGTTGAGAGCTCGGCCTATGTTTGCCAATGTGTCAGCCACTTCGTTTCCTTCGATTCCTGTATGTCCAGGAATCCAGGCTAGCTTGTAGTCCATTCCAGCTTGATTCGCTTCTACTATGATTGCTTTGGTAATTAAGGAAATAAAATCAGATGAGGCCTGTATGTTATAATTCGACATTTTTTTAATTGCACTTAGTGAGTCTGTATAGACTATACAGTGTTCAATATTTTTTTGTAGACACACGCTAATGCCCTTGTTTATTGCCGCTATTTCGGCCGAGCATATATTTATAAGAGGTGGTATTTTTGATGAGAAGGAATAATCAATGATTGGAATGTGTACCCCTATTCCTGTTTGTTCTGTATCTGTTCCTATGTTAATTTTTGATGCGTCAGTGTATACAAAAACGTTATTGGAAGAAAGGTGTTCAGTTTCGGCTTGGAATTTTATTCTATTGTTAGTGTCGTGTTTTTTCAAGTTCAGTTTGATTATCTCAATAGGTGTGATTTGCAGCTCGTATTCAGTTTCAAAGCAGGGAAGTCTATCTGACCGATACATTTGTTCTATGTAAGGTTCTATGTAGTTAAGGGCATCTATTAGATATGGCGGTTCTTTGATCCTCCAATATCCTTGGTTATACCTGGTATGTTGTCTGAGAGTTTCAAGTAGTAATAGTAAGGGGTGATTAGTGTGTCTAGCGATTTTCAGCATGAATTTGATTGCTAGCCATTTCCTTCTATATTCCAAAGAGCTTTCTGAGGTTTCTGCCAATAAGGCATTGGTTGGGGTAGTCTTCATGCATCCTGTTATTGTTCTAAGTGCCTGAAATTGGACTACATTCAATTTGTTCAATGTTTGCCTATTCGATGGTTTAATGAGGATACTTCCAAAGTCTAAATGAGATTTAACTAGTCCGTTGTAGGCTATTTGTAGAGTTGCTGGGTCAGCTCCCCACCATACTCTGCTGAATGTTCGCATGATATTTATGCCTTTGGTCGCTTTTCCTATTATGTGTTCAATGTGCATGTTCCAATTGAGGTTGTGAGTGTATATTACGCCTAAATATTTGACATGTCTTTTGTCAGGGATCAATTGTCTGTTTATGTAAATGGAAGGGGGATTGTGAAGGGGTTTGTTTTTGGAAAACCATATGCATTCACATTTGTTTGTAGACAATTGAAAGTTGTGTTCTTTCATCCATTGTTGGATGTCATCTAGTACTATGTTGGCTGATATAGCCATTTGCTGAGGGTTATTATTCTTTATTAATAAAATAAGATCATCTGCATAAGATAGTAACGTCATGCTTTCAGGAATTATTGAATAAATTGATTTTATGTAAATGTTGAATAAGATCGGGCTCAGAGGGGATCCCTGAGCTATTCCGCTTGATGATATTTCTGGTCCATGGATAAATCCATTTCTGTCTTTAATGTATAATTGCCTATTCTCTAGTATTTTATATATGAGATTAGCCATGTCATCATGTATGTTTAGGTCAGAGAGATGTGAGTACAGTTTTTGTATGTTCACATGATCATAGGCTGATTTGATGTCCAGAAATATGGCCAGAACATTCTGGTTATTGGAGAATGCAAGTTGTATGTATGAGGTCAAGTATGCTGTGTTTTCATGTCATTTCAAATTTTTTAGGGTTATGCCTTCTGTCACTGCTTGTCATAGTGTCCGTACTCTTATTCTTATTACAGCAAAAGTGTCAAATACATACAGGGACTCTAGTGACAGTGTCTTCCAGTGTTGCCAACCTATTTTGATAGAAATTCCCTAGCAAGGGTCAAGAAATTCACATTTTTTCCAAAATTTCCATCAGAACTATCAGAAGTGGGTACCTAAATGAGAAAAAAATGAAGACTACTCTGGTGTGATATTTATTACATTGAATTCGGAAAAAGGCCTTTTTTGGTATATATTTCAAACTATAATTAACAGTGCATGACTTGTATGATGAACAGAAAAAATGTCAATCGAGAATGAAAATGCTTCTATGCTTCGTTATCTGCACACATGATCGTGGGACTCTGTAACTCAAAGCGAAAGCGAAAGCATGCGTAATCGACTGCTTTTGCCGTTTCGGTACTCTGTATCAATATTCGGATGAGGTCGGAGACGCCGAACGTGAGTTCGTAAGCGAAGCCAGAAGCGAAGGATTTTGGTTGCCGCTTTCTGCGATTCTCAACGATTGAGGTTATAGGTATTGGTTTTTGTTGTTGTTCCTAGTTCAAACTTTGTGTTGATTTGAGAAAAATAATAGATTGATAAATGACGAATGAACCCAAACATGGATAACAAAGCGAGCAAAAACAGAACTTCAGTCAGTGGGACAGATTCCTCAGTTTTACGAACAAAGTCCTAAAGATATTCCAGAGAGATGAAAGTTCCCTTTGGTAGGATTAAGGTAGGGGATGAAAGAACGTGAGACGTGAGATAAAAAATATGATAGACAGTGTGATGAAAACATACAGTTCATTTGGTAGTTGAAAAATAAACTGAAAACTGTCATTAGTGCTGTTGAATAGGGTCTGGAATAATTCATATTCATTCGAATTATCCTTCTCTTTTAGATTCCTGATACATCAAAACAGGCAGATATAAGTAGCTTCTCCAAAAAATGAAATGTGTTATTACTGAATGTTGTCTCACTGAATCCTTGTTAAGAAAAATATGTCTTTGGTGTGAGTCCATTGAAGAAGACAATAATAGGTAATTGAAGAATCCTACTAATATAATATGCCGATACCTACAACAGTGAAACATAACAGAAAGCCTGGAACGTTCAAATTTGAAAAATTTGCATAATAAGTGCATTGGAAGGAAAAATAATTTGGATAGCAAAAACCTTGGAGACACCCAAGAAGAACTGTGTAATATTACTGTGTACCAATAAGGGAGAATCAAGAGTAAATTCCATGAAACAGGATTAACTGAACATTATTTACTATGTTGAACAAGAACAAGAACGGATTCTACTTTCACTACATTAATAATTCCATCCAAGATTCTAAAGTGAACTGTAAGAAAAAGTGCATCTGTATAAATGCACTGTCAACATATAGCTGCCTTGCAGAAGGCAATTCAAGGAATTATATGTGCTTATCATCTTGTTTAATTTGCGACATAGAGAAGCAAGTTCTGATAGGTATTACATTATAGTATGTGAATAATAATATACTGAGTGTTAGATTATAGAATGATATGTCCATTATAAATATAAGCAGTTACATATCTTACAATATTATTGTTATTCTCAGATCATTTGCCTTTACTAGTTGCATATAAATAGAAAGCTATACCTGAGATATACCTAGTGAGAATATAAATACCAA